TCACTATTTCTCTTGTTCTGAAAAAATCCATTATTTGTCACATTTTCCTCAGTAGATTTTGAAGCATATACTGCTGCTGTATGCCTGGCGCCATCACAATAATAGCAGGTAATCTGCTTAACTGGCTTATTGAATGAATTTTAATATGTTAGGCCAGGGTTTGAAAATACATTTGGGCTTTGGAAGGCATTTTGATTTTGGTATCCCTGAAAAGAAAGAAGTGGTTGTTGTATGTAGGGTTGGGGTGTGGGGTAGGGTGTGTAATAATTTCTCCTAGTGCCCCAGCCCCAATTATAGTTTCTTTTACCGGTTCAATTTTTTTGGTTATATGTTACAAGTTGGCTTTCTTGCGGCTTTACTTGTTTCCTTGCTTCGATTAACAAATCTCTGAATTCATCATCTTTACTAGAGTTTGGCTTTGGAATTTTTGCCACTACATTCCAGCCTTCTTCTTTTGCCACCCTCAAAGTGAATGCTCTTCGTCTTAGTAACTTCTGTGCTTTTATGGCCTTTTTCTTTGAGTCCTCCTGGATTGCTTTTGATAGCAAGGAACTGACATCACAGATTGCATCATATTCATATTGGTTCTGTGCCTTCTTAAACTTCTTTTTTGGGAAGCCAGTGTCTGCGGAGCTAGTTCTATTTACTTGCGATAACTATTGTTGCAGGCTTTTATCCAAAACCTTTGATAGAGAATTACCTAACTTTTCTTCAATTTTTCCTATAGTCTGGTTTCTATATAGGACAAGAAAGCATAGTTATTCCCCTCAATGTCTTTAGGTATAGGGCAACAATTTCTCTTTTCACTGCTTTTACCAGGATCTTGTTTAACTGATTTCTCTTTTAGATTAGTTTGTAATTCGAAATCCTTCTCATGATCCTTCTAATAACTTTCTAGACGGTTTACCAAATCCACTTTATTCTCTTTGGTAGGGATATTACACCTTCTACACATTGCCCTTAGGTCAATGGTTTGTAAACAGTTCCAGTCAACTGTCATACTACATTCTGCTTGTGAGGTAGCTATTTCACTATCTACCTCAGTTATACGTTGTGTTTCTTCTGACATGGAGTTATTCATTTATTCGAAAAAGAAAGTTTATTATATATATATATATATATATATATAAGGAACAAATGTGTTTCCTTTTCTTTTTTTTTTTTTGAACAACTATCAAAGCAGAAAAAACTAACGACTTGTTTGTAACATAGCTAGACAAAAAAATATTGAGCAGAAAAAATCAAGAACAAAGAACTGATAAATTATCAGATTACTCAAATAACTAATTTTCTGCCATGGTACTGTCCCGTGACTACTGTCACATGGAAAGTCCAGTGACTCACAATAATTTACCACTTTGTAACTTCATTCACAAGCGGTTTTTCCTATTAATCCATATAGAAAACAAAGCAAAAACCCGATACCAGCGAAAGCTGGAATTTACATACTATCTAAAGTCATTCCCCCTAATTTTGAATCAAAATAAATGATATCCAAGTTAATAATAACGACCCCTTAGACTATCAACACCACTCTCGATCATTACCTATTACTGATTTACATATTGTCAACCACAATGTTCAGAGCATTAATGCTCCTCTCAAACTTCAATTATGGCTAGAACATTGTTATAATAACTCTGCTAATATTATCTTCATGACTAAAACAAAATTGTTAGCAATATCATTACCTCCTGCATCCCTTACTAATCCATTATTTGAAATATTCACAGCAAATTGCAATGAAACCTCTGCAAATATCTGTCAGTCTAGTTTGGGAGCAGCAATAGCACTTACTTCAAATCTTTAACCTTATATAAACAAAATCAAAACGATCCCTGGTATTGCACTAATGATTGACCTATTTTTACCAAGCAATAACAAAAAAAGACTAATCTGGGTATACCTACCTTCTAGCTCATCTCAATATCACAAACAAGCCCAGTAAGAGATTATAAAATGGATTGATGAAGCATGATCTTACAACTTCAACCTACTAATCGCCGATGACTTTAACAACAATATTAACAGAAATAGATTCGATAAAACAACACCTCTCCTTTTGCATCTAATATCTTATAGATTTATTAGTTTATCTTAGTTCCATAGCATTACAGAATATACTTGAAAATGCAATACTAGTAAATGTCAAATTGATGACTTCTGGGTTAATCTGGAAGTTGCACTTGTATACTCTCGACCCAGTCTCACCAATGCAATAGCTATTACAAATAGCAATCACAAAATATTTACAACTATTTGGAATATACCTCCTATGTAAAGACCTCTAGAGGGAAAAACAACACAAAAAAATTTACCAATATACTAACACAAGTACCGAATAGTGGGATCTATTTGCCCAAACAATTAAAACAAACTTATTGGCTGCTTCAGCCTCTCATCAACCTATCACTAATGAAGATCAACTTAACAAGACTTGGAACAATTAGTACAATATCATTAAACATACAGCTAACAAAGCAATACCTTTTATATCCTCATCTTCCAAAACCTATCATGCTCACTCTTTTAAAGCAACTGAACTCCACAAGGCACTTAAACTCTGCAATAAAATCTTTACCTTACTTAACAACTCTCCACCCTGGACCCTCGATACTTTTGCTAAAATTATTAACTATAACCTTTAACAAATGCATATACTCACATCACAACCCATCACCACAATTCTGCCTTCCTATTTAGAATCGACAAATTTCAAACTCACCCACACCCAACTAAACTCAATCCATCATACTGCTTACAATGCATGTAATATTGAGAACAATAACCAAAAATGATTACTCATTAACTTCTTCATTAGTAAACGCTATACTAATTTCACAGACAATACTTCACAGATGATAAACAGTATACTCAAAAGACATCATACAAAAGTAACTTACTACAATATCATTACTCCAAACCAAATAATAACAGATCCCGTTAAAATAAAAGAGGCAACTTGACAACATTTCAAGACCTGGACCAGACTAAACCCCACAGACCAACAAGAATGGAAAAACTGGGAAGAATTCTATTAACCAATATGAGGCATTACACCACAGACATATTAAACTCTAACCAACCTGATAACTCTTGACGAAGTCAAACTAACAATTACTAAAGCTCTTACCAACAAAGCTGCTGACCTGTCTCTTATATCAAATGAGATGCTCAAAAAACTGCTCAATGAAGCAATTTACTTACTTACCCAAATTTTTAATGCCTGTATAGAACTTCAGACAACTCCTAATTCTTGGGGGTAACAGACTAATTTGGCCAATAGCAAAGAATAAATACTTAGCTGGTGATCTTAATAATACACAACCAATAACCCTAATAGAACACTCTAGAAAAATTTTTACAAAAATTTTAATAAATCGACTGAACAATATTCTTTTACAACAACATATTCTGTCTATTGCCAATAATGTGGCACTTCCTTTTACCTCCACAATGCAACCTATACAACAACTTACACATATCTGCGAAGATGCATGAATCAATTAAAAAGAGCTTTGGATGTTATCACAGGATATATCCAAAGCATACAATACGGTCCATCTACCTTTACTAAGAAAAGCCCTTACTCGACTAAAGATACCAGATTCCTTCACCAATTTAATCATCAATATGCTATCTAATCGACAAAATCAAGTTTTAACAACAATAGAATGTACAAACAAATACTATATAGAGGATGGCCTTGACCAAGGGGAAACTCTATCTCCCATACTATGGAGGATTTATTATAATCCCTTAATCAACTGAATTCAAAACCTCCAAGACGGATACACTATGCTTACCAACTCACCAAAATCAAATAATTCCAAAATGGTAACAACTTCCATAATTGCCTATATGGACGACACTATATGGATAGCCAAGAACAGGCAACAACACTAGAAATAGCTTCATCTTTCTACCAAATGGCCCAAATTAAAGTAAACTCAAACAAATCCACCCTCCTTCACAACAATTACAACGACACTTCCCCTATCATATTTAATAGAGATCCTATTCACAACCTGCCCCGGACTCAAATACTGAAATTTATAGAAACACACATTGATCATATCCCTACAGATAAATACGTTAAATATCTTCTTAAACAAGAGTTTAACCTAGAACTTAACAAATTAAAATTCGCTAAGATTACTGGGAAACAAACTATTTATATTACTAATACTGTATTATATGCTCGACTGCGATACCTCTTATTTAACACATTTTTATCGACAATGCATACAAATTATCAGACACAAAGCTTCATTAGCTAGAAATATTCCAAATTCCTTTTTATTTCACCCTAACATATATGCATTAATAAACCTCCAACAACTTCAACAACAACATCATCTCTCAATTCTTGATCTTCAACTTAACTCTATATATTCTTACAATCATTTCTAATTTATCTTCAACAACTTCAAAATGATGCCAATATTAATCTATCAATATTAGAAAGCTCACTGACCTTCTCTAAATTAGAAAACAACAATTTTATAGCTTAACTAATCAAAACCCTATACTGCTTACAACTCCAATACACTTGCACGACTAATCAATGGCCCATATCTATAACTTCACCTGGGACTTCGTTAAACACATTAATCAGACAAATACCCCACTACCCACATATTAAATATCAACTAAATCAACACCACATTACTGATATCGAACACTTTACAAATTTTAACAATACTGATACTATAACCCCATACCAATAGCACCACAATATAAAGAAAATACCAAGAGGAAGGATCCCAAAAATGTTTAACTTAATTACAAACCTGATCTGGAAAGACCACTTACCTAGTACAACTTTAATACAACCCAATCCCTATATATGGACTCAAACTAAACTCAATAAGTGGATCATCACTCCACAACTAAATTTTGGCAAAATATTATCCTGCAAAAATGAGCTATAAAAATCAAACATTGGACTATAAACCAATCAACAAACCAATTAACGCATTGTCTTGGCTGCACACTCAATGACCCAACTACTCACATGGTCAAATGCTCTTTCTGGTGACCAAAGAAACTAATCTATGACATACAGGTTGATTCAAAAAAGAAATAGCATGGGGTGTTACAGAATTTTCAACATCCACCCCAACATGTACCGCTAAAGCATACTCCCTGGCAATACATACCCAAGAACTACAAAATCACACACTCATTAACTCAAACATTACAACAACATGCAGAATTCGTATGACAGTCATATCTTCAATTCCCAAACGATAAAAGGGTCAAAGCAAAATTAACCATTACATATCAAAAACTAGACCATCAAATAAGACCAATCGCAAACTTGTCTTTCAAACACACACCTATAATAGTTACAATGGCAAATAAAACATGGCCTACAGTCCCCAAAATTATCCTTACGGCACTTTTCATTATATGCACAATATCACCTTTTGATGCTCAGATCAACATTACAACGAATTCATCCCTGTTGAAGAAGTATGCTCATAATAACAGAAAAATCTCCCGCTTAATGAGATAAACTATGCAAAGAAAATTATGCACCTCTTCTATTAATAAACCTTGCAGTTATCTCAATCAAATATATTAGCTTAACTATCATGAAAGAACAGTTAAAGGATAAATTAACGCCCAATGCAACAATAAAAGAAATTGAAATAGACACATCATCTTATCTAAACTCTATCTATACCTTATGCTTGCAGCACAATCCCACAATATATTATATTAAATATATTGTGAAACATATACACACAATATAGAACATAGTTAAATTTTATTATCAACAATGAATTTAATAATTCATAAAAGACAACATCAAAATCAAGTGGAGTTTAACTATGGACTATTTGAAGTTTAATAACAAACCAAACCAACATTCTACAAACTCTGAAAAATCAAAGATAAAAAACTTTAAAGTCAAACTTATTGCTAATGAACTACCAAATTTTTTAAACCTATTTAAAAGAGATATATATTGCCAATTTGCTGAAGATGTCTAAACAAAGAAGAAAACGATACCCACTAGCTAAGTTGTATGACCAATCCTATCAAGCTAGACATAATAATACTCGAGTTCATCAATTCTCTTGCCTCCAAATACCAAATAATTGACCATCAACCTAATGCATTTATCCAAAAATTTATCAATACCTATATAATCAAGCAAATACTAATAGGAATAATAATAGCAGAAACTTTGTTTCCAACAAAATCAAATACTGTTGCAGTACAATTCGCAGCTTTGCTACACCATACCAGTCACACGATTTGTCACACTATTTTGCTTGTAAATTTTTATATATATAAAATTATAAAAAAAACATATAAAATTACTATAAACTTTGATTCCGTGATGTTTCTTCCCCTACATATTAATTTAAAATTAAATTGTGCAACAATATGTAATACGAAATAGCAAAAAAAGTGAGCTTAGAAATCAAATTAAAATTTTGAAATTTTTGCAGTTTTTAAAAATACAACTCTACCAAAACTAAATATTTACTAATTTTAAAAGGCGAATTATATGTAAAATTTTATGCTGAACAAAACTTTTCTTAGTAGCAAAATAGGTTGTATTAGTAAAAAAAAGTTATCTATATACTAATGTTAAAAATTACATATTTTTTATATAAAACTTTTTTTTTTACTTATATAACCTATTTTTTGTGTCTAAATAAAGTTGTTTAGAATAAAATTTTGCATCTGCATAGTTTAGCATTTTTTCATTTTGTTAACATTTTACTAAGTGAAAAATTGGATCAAAGTTTTTGGCAAAAAAAAATTTTTTTTTTACCAAAAACTTTGATCCAATTTTTCACTTAGTAAAATGTTAACAAAATGAAAAAAAGCACTAAACTGTATAGATGCAAAATTTTATTCTGAACAACTTTATTTAGATGAAAAAAAAAGGTTATATAAGTAAAAAAAAAGTTTTATATAAAAAATATGTAATTTTTAATATTAGTATATAGATAAATTATTTTTTTACTAATACAACCTATTTTGCTACTAAGAAAATTTTGTTCAGCATAAAATTTTACATATAATTCGCCTTTTAAAATTAGTAAATATTTAGTTTTGATAGAGTTGCATTTTTAAAAACTGCAAAAATTATAAAATTTTAATTTGATTTCTAAGCTCACTTTTTTTGTTATTTCGTGTTATATATTGTTGCACAATTTAATTTTAAATTAATATGTAGGGGAAGAAACATCACGGAATTAAAGTTTATAGTAATTTTTATGTTTTTTTTATAATTTTATATATATAAAAATTTATATGTGGTTTTACCTTTAACATTAAAAAAAAAAAAAAAAAAATTTATATGTGACAAATCGTGTAACTGATACTATAACCAAAGGAATCTATAAACAAATATGAACCTAGAGCCACATAGTATCTCAACAACACTCTAATAATCTACTTACTTAATACAACTCTAATATCATATCAAATCAATCAGATATAAACGATAACTCCAATACGAATATTAACTTGATGCAAATATGGATAAATAATTACATATATCATAACCAATATCTGAAGTTCCTTCTAGATAACTTAGCCTAACAGTCTTTGACCTATTTAGCTAAACTTAGGTCTGAAGTAAAGTAGATTTATTCTACAATCCCTAAAAATACCTATATGTAAACAAACAGAAATGTAATTTTTGCATATAAAATTAATAAAAAAATTTGAAAAAAAAACCTCGTAAAAAAAAAAAATATATCCAATTTAACTCTTATCAATTTACCATATAAATGAATTATTTTTAAAAACCATACTTACAAATAGACTATAAAGAGATCCTCACTATAATTAATATATTTAAAAACTTTACTATTACTCTATCATCTCTACACCAACCTCAAATTAACTTACCTACTCAGAAAATATATCTTATACAATATATTATCAAAACACCTAACTATCAAAACCATTTAACTCAATTACATACTAATATCTTTAATCTAAACACAACTGACTTATAATTCTATACTAATGCTTCTATTAAAAATCTTAAAATATCTAATATACAAACTGGCATAGGCTGAATTTGTAAAAATGAGCACTCTATTAATTTCAATGCAGCAATTCCACCTTCTTCTGATTTTACTTGTTCAGAACTAATAGCAACTATTCCCCTACTTCTTACTTTACCAATTAATTCTACACTTACCATTTATATAGATAACCTCTTAGCAATTAAAGGCTTATCAAGCTTTACACCTCATAAACTCATTCAACAAAAAAATTAAAATATTATTTCTATTATCAACTCATTTCTAACAACTAAAAGTATTTCTATTAACCCTATTAAAGTTAAATCACATTCAACTAGCTCTCTTTATAATCAAGTGGACCTCTTAGCCAAACATGGTACAACCAAACCAATTATAGAAATTCTTTACTCATACTTTAACTTCCCTACTTACTTTTTCTGGTATAATTATACAATAATATCCAAAATTTGCTCATTTATTAAAAGCAATATTACAATTCAAGAATTTCTCTCGTGGACTTCTCTCAAATTCTTTAACAATTATACATCTGATATAAATTGAAATCTCATCTTCAAAATTCTCAACTTCCTTGAACATTGCTCTTAAAAATACTCCTTTTATATTAAAGTTCTTACAAATAATCTACCAACTATGCAAAATCTCAAAATTCGATACCCTATTCTTTATATAACAAATAGCTGTTGCAAATGCTCTACAATAAAAAATACTCTTTATATACTTCTATACTCAAAAAACAATGAAGATATCCAACAGTCACTTTTTAATATAACCTCAAACACATTACAGCAACTCCAAATTACATCTATTCCATCAATCAAATTTCTTAATACTCTTTCACAATCTACTTTTAATTACATAAATTCTCAATATAACTTTTTATTTCCTACTATACTTGGTATTTACTCAAAACCAATATATCACACTCTTAAAACTTTATTCAAAAAACAAACTGAACACTTTGCAATCAGTCTTTCAAACAATCTCTTTAAATAGTTCTATTATAAAATATGGTCTCAACGTAACATACATCAACATTAATGGGAATTGGCCCGAAATATTACTAACAAAACCAAGCACACTAAATTTTCTTTACCACTTTTTACTAATCAACAAAATACGGAAACATCTACTACTCAACTACCAAACCTACACTCTGCCATTAAAAAATTGTACCTACAAGGCTTCTTTCTAACATGCATTATATAATATCTAAATTAACACCTTAGGGTTTTCTTCAACCTATCCTAGCTAGATTTACTTTATTTATTTAAACTAATAATAGCATTAAATAGGAAATAGGAGGTGTAATATCATATTGGGTACTTTGTAGCACAAGTGTAGCTAGAAATCTTTAACTATAGAAATTTATTTTCTAATCAACCTTCTTAAAATTTACTAGTTTAAGTTGAAGGATTTTGGCAGCCTGGTTATAAATAAATAGCTTATCTGTCCCCTTACCTGGATTTGTAGACTATAAAATAACTTTCAATCTTCAGACTGACTGTAATAAAGTTTCTACTATAACATTATATTAATAAAATATATATATATATATATATATATATATAATTTATTTTTATTTAGAATTTAATAAGAAGTTGGGCAAAGAAATTTGTTAAAAATTTTCAAGAATTTTCTTCATTAGGACTTAAATTTCCAAAATTATATTTATAGGTTTATTATACAACAGATTTAATTAAAAAGTATAGATTTTTGAATGAATTTTTTACTGAAACATATGAAAGTCTTTATAAAGATTTTGTCAAATCACCTTATTATTTGACCAATAAAAAAGATATCGAAATTCAAATATTAAAAATGGTAAGTATTTAATTTTATAATATTTGTTATATTTAAATTTTAATTTTAATTAATTTAAATTAAATAGATTCAAAGGCAAAATATTGTAACAAAATTATCTGCCGAATCAAATCAAAATGTTAAAATTATATATTTTTTTAAATTTAATAATTTAATTTGAAAATTTAATTTAAATAATACTTAAAAATTTATTAATAAGAAGCAAAAAAACAATAATTTAAAGTCAAAATTGCATTTTGGTTTAAATAATTTTTTAGAATATTTGAATTTATATTTGGTTTAATAGGACAAAATAATCCAATTAATAGTATAGTTAAAATATATAGTTTAGTAACTATACAAAATATAATTTTAAATCTAAGAAAAATCCATTTTATTATGGATGTTCTAGGCTTCAATTGACTGAAT